CCGACCGACCATCCACCACAATTACATTACCATAACTCCCTACAATCATCCCTGCCACCCTAATTCAATACTTCTTCCACAGTGGTTTAGGTAAGTTTTACTCTTATTATAAGAATCTAGCACTTTAAGTTTGATTCCTACGACACAATATCTACAAGAGAGTGAGTTTTATAAGGTTGAGTTCTATCTATTAATCGTCTCACTCATCTAATTTATACTCTTATTGGTTATTCTCTTTACTCTCCTAAAAAGTGGGTTCCCATTTATTGTATAGAATTCAAACTCATGAGTTCAATATTGAACTCAAGAGCTGGAATCACTTTTATACTATGAAATCCCATCCTCAAATTTCACTATTTGATTTCGCATTTGTAATTGTTACGACGTGTTCCTAATTTTTTATGTAAAATTTTGCAAATCTACAAAAAAATGAAAATGTCTCTAGGCAAAGCGGAGTCATACATGGACTTTTGAGCTTGTTTTATATTTGTCTTTTTTCTTATCATATTCCAGTAGTATGTGTTGATACGAACACCTTAGAAGTAAACAAAATGAAATTTGAAACTAGATTGAAGATTCTACGAGGCTCGATAGTCAATGTAAAACCCCTCCCTAAATTTAGTTTGTAATTTAACAATTTCCCTAAAAGTTTATAGAATCTTGCAATTTGGTCCCTTATCCTAATTTGATCCGGACCCTCCATCTAGATTTTCTTTCTCCATCACACTGCCATGTGGCAGCCCATAAACTCTACACCTCTCTCTCTCTCCTTCCCCAAAGCTCTCTCGGATCTCTCACTCTCTTAGCTCTCAACTCTCTCTCTCACTCTCCTTCTCATTCCTTTTTCCAATCAACACACCAACCCAAATTCGTGCACCCCGACAACGGCACAGCACCACCACTACTACCGGTAACACTCTTTCTTCCTCCCTCCCCTCCATGAAGCTCCGGGGCACCCAGAAGACACCCAACCCAGGTTCGGCGAACCGTGGGTGTGCGAGCTCAGGTCCGACCACCTTCAGCCATTTCACGTCTAATCACAGGTAGCAACCTCTTCCTTTTGTCTTTACCTTCGATTTCCTAGTTAGTTCGTAGGGCATATGGGAGTTTTGCCGACGACCGGAGCACGGAAGGCTCTGGCCTCATTCCTCGGAAAGGAATGGGTCAGTGACCCAAGTCCAATGAACCTAGGCACTTTGGACTGTGTATAGAACTCGAGCCCTAAGCCTATTTAAAATCCAACCCAACCCTTTTGTTTTATTGATTTATTTAATTATTTAATTTTTAAAACCCAAAGGCCCTTGGGCCATTTCTGTTAAGGCCTTCGGCCCGTAGACTCTTTTAACCCTAAACCCTGGCCGGGCTTCCAAGCCCAAGCCCATGTGTTAGAACCCAAAGGAACCGGCCTTAAGGCCGAACCATCCGGTTTACCTTAAACCCTAGGCCCAACCCAGTCTAACCTAAAACCCTTTGACCCGGTTTGACCCATGGCCCATTGACTGAACCAGTCAACATTGGCCGTTGATTTGGTCAACGTTGACCGTTGACTTTGATCGGTCAACGTTGACCGTTAACTTTTTGGGTTTCATCTGAAACCCCTTCTATGCTAATTTCAACGTCCTGGACCTGGTTTTTATATTCGTTTTCTCAAATTCAATCGTTTGAATAAAGTTTTATTAATTGTACCCTTTATGTGCTTAGGTGCAATTATTAACCGCGAATCCATCATTCATATTTCGTACGGCTCTACGACAACAGAGTATCTATGAGTGGACCCCTTCTAAAATGCATGTTTTAATAGTAGAAATGCATACATGAAAAGCATGAATTAATGATTACATTTTATGAGATATCAGGCTTACTTAGAATCTTTTGGAATACCATATTTTCTATCGAACCCATATTCTTTCTAGGATATCTGATGGATGACAGTATACTATTAGAACATTCTTTTGCACTTCTTTATAGTATAGATGATGGATGACCTTATATTATGAAGATGTTTTGAGATACATGTACCTATGTTTGGAAAGACTATGTTCAATGGTTTTGTGCTTATCTAGTGGTCATTATTCTACCTCCGGGCAATGATACTTTTATTAGGCATTCGGATCAAGTGATGTAGGGACCTTTAGGTCGAGAGATATTATATTGGCCTCCAGGGTCGGGTGATGTAGGGGCCTTCGGGTCGGGAGATTATTATATTGGCCTTTGGGTTGGGTGATGTCCTTAGGGTCGATTATGATACCACTAATTAGCACACTATATATGAGATACATTTTATGAAGGGTTTTATAGCATGCTAGGGTTTCTAGAAAACCTTTTACATATTATACTATTGAATTTCCATAAAACTTTGGGGGTTAGTATGTTGAATAAATGTTTCAGTATATATATATATATATATATATATATATATATATATATATATATATATATATATATATCAACTTGGTCCACTTATTTTATTTGCACCCCCTCAGGACTTAGAATTAAGGCGTACAATCCCGGCTTCAAGGCACTCTCGCATCGGCATCTTTGAGTCCTCTCGATGTAGGACCCATCCTTTTGTTCATTCAATTTTATATTATTCCTTTTTAGTGTCTCATTTTAGTTGTATGCTCTAAACATGTTCCTCAATTGCATATTAATCATATTTAGATTTATAAGTCTTATTTATTTTTTGTTCTCAACATTTGCATTCAATAAATGGCTTTCGTCACCCTTGGATGTCGTCCAACATGTGACCATTTCGATGTCTCACGGACATGGGGATCAGGCCTTGTTAGTCGAGTGTATTTTGGTAATTTTATCATTATTTGGAACATATGTTGTTTGTCCGTTTTTGACCTTGGTGTGTGTGCCACAGGGGCTGACCTTCCATTTTTATGTAGCTCATCCTCTCTCTCAGCTCACTCTCAATCATTCTTTCTGGAGTCTTTCTCATCGTTCTCACCTTCTCCCTTATCCAAAATCATACAGCCATCTAAACCACCTTTTCGGCCAATCGATCACCAAACCAACACCATAGTGACCCTCATCTCTTCACAAGCTTAAACATGAACCCTAGACTGTGAAAAAATGACCACTGACTGAGGTCATAAGAGCTCTGACGAGAACCGAATTTTTTTCGACAAGATTCTGTCTCCTTTTTGTTGTTTTGGATGAGTTTGGGGGTCACCAATTGAGTTACCATCATCCTAGAAGTCAATTTCGAGCATTGGATCCTGGGGTCCACCTCGACGTACAAAGATCACACAACTTCGATTTGAGCCAAAGTTTTTCGACGAGTTTCAGGCCATCTCTGGCCTTTTCTTAGACTTTTAAAAGGTATAAAATTGCTACTCTCGTCTTAAGCTTCACTTTGACACAAGGATTGTGTGATTTAGTTCAAAATTGAGCAAGTTATGGCTTTGTGAAGGATTTGTGCTCAATTTCCCAGTTCCTGGCAAGATAAACGGCTGCAGCTGCAACCAACTCACTGGAGAAGAAGGGAAATATTCCAAAACCCAACCCGCTTGTGGCTGCTCTAGTCTGCACGTAGAGGCACGTACGATGGCGCATAGTCTGCAAAACGTGGCCAACAACCCAAAGTGTCTTTCTAGGCTAATTTTGATGATCTGAATTTGTTTTTGGCATTCATTCAGCGTTATTATATTGTTTTAACCTAATTTTGTAGTTGGCATCCACTTAAACTTGCGATTGGCAGAGATCCGACAGTCGGATTGTCATGAATTTTTAGTATGTTGTAGTGGAAGTGTGATGAGGCTTTTAGGAAGTTACTGAATGGAAATTTATATGCGGATCTTCCGAATTGAATTTCTAAGGTTGTTTATCCTACCTTTGACCTTTGTCCAAAGGTTGACTTTGGTCAACGTGTCCTAAATCATTCTTGATTGTTGTAGACGACGTGTACAACCTAGAACTATGTGTTTTATCACAAGACTTCTAAGACGAGACTTGTGATTTGTTCTAGGCACTGATCGTGTGTGAGCATTTTGATCCATGTGCTAGGATGCTTTAGCAATGACTCTGGGTGAGTGTTTTTAATATATGTGGTATGGTCATCACCCTAAAAAATTCCATACTAGTATACTTAATGGATATGGCATGAATTTTATAAAATGTAGTTTGTTATGCATATTTGAAACTTTTGTGAAATTGTGAAATGTAAGGGCTAGTAGAGAACCGTCAACACATTAATATGGGAATTTGAGACATCAAATTTGTATCCTGTCAAGTTAAGTTAGGTTCCTAGAATTTCCTACTTAGTTTTGTTGAGTGGTCCGGAATCGTGTTCCACTTAGGTTCCTTTGAGTGGTACGGAACATTGCTTTATCTGGTTTCAATTGAGTGGTCTGGAATCTCACTTCCTATTCGGTTTCATTGAGTTGGTCTAAGACCCTCCTCCATTATGATTCCATTGAGTGGTCCAAAATCCCGCTCCTTATTCTGTTATGTTAAATGATCCAAAACTTTATCTTCATTAGATTGCGTTAAGTGATCTGAAATTCCATTTCCTATTAGGTGTCGAGTGGTCCAAAACTTTGTCTTCGTTGGATTCCATTGAGTGGGCTGAAATTTATTTCCCATTTTGGTTCAACCATATTTGTTGAGTGGTAAGCCTTTAGTAAGCCCTAAAAGTCTTGGACCTTTAAGTCTCTCATTGCACCATATGTAGGCATGGCCTGTAAGCTGTTTGTTTGACACGTGGAGAGTCTACACTCCTTGAGCGCAACACCCGTTTAGGGTGGTTAGAAAGCACTTTAACTGAGTGCTAGGTCCGACAACATTCATGTCTCTTCGTAGACTTCTCTCTATTACTGGCCAACGCGTGGCGTAGAGATTATGCTTGGACAAACTTGTCATTGGAGCTATGTGCTAGAAAGTGTTGGAGTTGTCCAACAACTCCCATTGATGAGTTTGGCTTTGTATTATAAAGATATTATACTATGAAAGAGGCCATAGGATTTAAGGTATAGAAGCAATGTCCTAAATGATGTTAAGGTAGGTAGATTTGCATTCCATAGTAGCTTAGTTCGGCATAGATCACATTAAGATTAGCATGGTCTCGTGTGTTGGACAAATGATAGATATATAGAAGCTTGTCTTTTGAACAAGTTCACGGAACACTACCTGTAATAAGGAATGAACTTTGATTTCACCTCGGGTTGACAATAAGGAATCTATCACCTTCGGTAATTGTTCAAATAGATAGAGATATCACTGGAAGCAACTTTAAGATCCATATCAAAAAAATTTGTAGTAGAAACTAAGAACACATGAGAGTAGCATGTCATGGCTATCATAGTTTACTAATCATGATACTCTTTCAAACCTTGATTGTATTTACAATGCAATTCGGTACTTTTGTTATCCATACCCCGATATGTAAAATCACATGTAACCATACATATGAACCCGAGTACCACACATTGGGCCTTTGAGGAGTACAAGTATAAGATACCTATTATGTATCAGGAAACATTGTAACGTTTGACATGTGTTAAAGCATCCGTGCATTTAAGCTTCTTAGATGGTTAGTCTTTTGTGAATCCAACAGACAAGTACCCAATTCAGTGTAGCACGGATAACCTAATACGATATACACCAGCCTTTCTGGATAGTCAATGTCCAGTTGACTTTCCAAAAGCCTAGGAACTTTGTTTAAGGACTAAGTGACAATGGAATACAAGTCTCCCTGCCTTAACCTCGTTTAGGGCATTGCTTCCATACCTTAAATCTTGTAGACTCATTCGTAGTATATTATTTGTATAATATAAATGCCAAAACTCATGAATGAAGACAATATCTTAGGGCACAACAACATAACAAGAGCCATGGAGGCTATGATAAAATCCATGGGCACACGTTTAGCCTTCAAAAATATTTTTTTTTAGGAAATGGGATGGGCTAATTTTTCCCGTCTCCGGCCATGGAGGACTAAGAATTACCCCTGTTATACAACAATTAGACATTTACTATGTATTGTTCCAACTAAGGGAAAATTTCACTTTTTGTCCATGTAAATTAGTTAAAGTTCACTTTTAATTCATGTAATTTCACAAATGATGACTGAAGGACACGTTATAATTTCCATTTTTAGTTAACATAAAAGGCATGTGTCACTCACATGCATGACATGAGGGGGCGTGTTGACTCACTAATTGGGTCCCACGTGGGGGGGCGTGTTGACATATCCCACATCAACCGTATCTATGAGAAAAGAAGAGTTTAAATATCCTAACCCTACTCCAACTAATATTAAGGCCTTTTGTGATAAGATCCACACCTGACGAATTGTGCACGTAGTAATCACCAAGTTGGGGACAATATTGGTGTTGTTGGAAGTGGGTCTGTGACCCGTCTCAAATTGCTGGGTAGGTCCCCTTGGCTTCACGAACCGTTGCTCTGATAATTTCACATGATGTCATAGTTAGAAAGTGGGCCCGTACTGCCACTTGATGGGTGGGTCCCCTTAGCTTGGCGGGTCCCTTTGGCTCAATGTCGTTGTTGATGTGTGGATCTCCCACATGTGACCCACTAATTGGGTTCCATGTGAGAGAACGTTTAGGGTTTAGGGTTTAGGGTTTAGGGTTTAGGGTTTAGGAACAAGAATTTGGTGATTATGGAGTTTCTTATATTTCTATGCCCTCTAACTATGTTCCTTTGAATTGCATCTTTTACTTCTAAACTAAATTCGTTTTAGACATTAGAGAAATTTTTTGGTCCTTTCTTGATTAGCTTGTGGAAAACATTAATTTGTCCTGGATGTTGGTGGGTGATTTCAAGGAGCTTGTCAATGAATTGAAGAAGAGTGGTGGGTAGGTGCCCCATTGGAAGAGAAAATGGGTTTTTGTCGAATGAATTGAGAAAAATCGAGTGGTGGATCTTGGTTTTACTGGTGCATAATATATTTAGTATAGAGTGTACTAGATATTAGGCCCGCGCATTGCCGCGGAAACCAGCTGTTTTAAGAGTAATCGGATGAATAAAACACATTTAAGTTGAATAAATTCAACACAATTATGAACAAAGGGATAAATGAGTGAATGAGGTTGATAAGTAGGAAGAAACTGAACGTCTTTGATTAGAAAGAGATGGTTACCCAAAAAGTTCTGTTTCCTTTAGAAACAGAACAAACATGTAGTTCACACATCTAATATGTGTCCTGCAGTGTAGGCAGTCATTTCAACTGGTAATTGAAAACAGAAAGTGTTGAGGACTTGTTCAAGTAGCTAATTTTGTAACCACAACTGTTCAAACGCAAAAATAAGTAGGTGGTCTGTTTCCATACAAAACTGAAGAAACAGAAGCAAGTTGCAATTTACACATATTTTGCCCCTGCAGTTAAGACCGCAAAATATATGCCCTGCAGCCTACATACCTCACTTAGCAATTAGCAAAACACTGAAAAAACGGTGTTTGAGCAGGTAAGTCGTCAAGCATAGATGTTAAAACAAAAAAATATGCAGCATGGTGTGCAGTATTCGATGACGGAGAGCATGGCTGTTCACTTTTTCTGAGACCGGACATCTTTGACACTATAGCAAAAAACATAAATCATAATGTAACAAAGGCAGCCATTATGGACGCTATTCAGGCATGCGTTGATACTCATAACTGTGTTCACTCCATATTTATTGAATATGAATGGATAAATGGTTGATACTTATAACTGTGATCACTTATCCATAAAAAATTAAAAAAACTTTTAATTACCAAAATATGAAAATGATTGAAAACAAATAACGCACAAATCCTCAATCTATTAAATAAAACCAACCCATACTCTGACACCAAAAAAAAAAACTACATAAGTTAAAGTCAGTCCTTTGCAAACCAACAATTGCATATACCAAAAAATGAAAGAAAAACAAAATCTAAAAACCAAAAAATATGTGTATATGCATTAGCAATCATGTAAGAGTTCATTCATCGTCTAAAATTTGAAATTTCAGATTGACCAATTACACCATTTCTATAAAATTTCAGTTATGACATTAGTATTTGAGCGAAATTAATATGTTAGGACAGAAACAATTTCTTACATATGTCAACAATCCATATAAAGGGATCCTTATTCAACAATAAATATTTTTTATACCAAAAACGAAGCAATGAAATAAATGTTTTACTTTGAAATTTCAACATAGACTTAGTTCAGACATTAACAACTTACTTTGAAATTCCTCTCACGGTATGTGACTACAATGTTCGTTGACGATCGTTGTAGAGTCAACATTAGGTGGACAACTCTTTGATTATGTCATTAGACACAATACAAAAGCTTACTTTCCATGAGCTTTGCATGTAACTCACAAATTCCCAACTACATGTGTCATTTGTGTTTCCTCAGCTTTCATTGCGTAATCACTACATTACCCAAATCCCAAAAAAAAAAAAAAAAACACCTGAACGGCATCATATTGGCTGTACTAAATATAACAGCACCCCAAATTTATGGTGCTATCAAATTTATGTACATAAATTTACGTATATTTTTTAATGACACTAAAGATTAATTCTGAACTTATGGTACTATCAAAGTTATGTATATAGCATACCTATATTAGTATGATTCTAATTTACATCTGTTTCTTATCAAAAAATTATAACATAAATTTCAATATGTATGCTTACAACGCAAAAATTTTCGTTTCGTTTCGTAAAACTACAAATAATTCACTAATACTTCATACATGGAGCGGCGAACCACTTTAGTTGGGTTCTCTTGGCACAAATTTGAGTTGGAAAGTCAGGAGAATTCTAAAACCAGCATGAGATACTTTAGAACAAATTGACAAAATAGGGTGTGGATGTGTTTTAATATTCCTTCCAACAAACAACAAAACGTTATCCCCTAGACAAAAAAATACAACAAAAAACAAAGCACATGCACTTTACCCCAATGTCGTATGAGTACAAATGCATCCTAAATTTGACCTGAGTAAAAGTTGATAAAAGGATAGTATTTCTTATATATATTTGTACCAGCCAAGGCCAGCAAAAAAATTAATGAGCAATCGAAAAAGTAGCCAAAACCGCTTCAGCTATATGCATCATGAAACACAATCTATGCTATGTGGACAGGCTATCTAGAATTATTATATGATACACTGTTGCAAATATGCCTCTATAACAAACACAAAACATTGAATTCCATTACCTTGTTGTTATTGACCTCTTTCTCAATTAGAATCACCAAAGCTTCCGAACCGTCAACCAGGACCATGTCGCCTTCGCGCACCTGTGGCCGGAGCTGAAGAGGAGATTCATAATTATAATATATCATACTGACAAATTCTCAGACACATTTCATCGATCACCTAATGTGCCACGTTCTCATATGCTTTCTTGTAAGATTAATTGAAGAACAATAAGTTTTTGAACAAAATTAACTTCTAGATGAGTAATTTAACAGAAAAGAAGAAACAAAAAAACCCAGAAATCTTTAATTGAAGAACAATACTTGGTATTTGAACAAAATTAACTTCTAGATGAGTAATTTAACAGAGAAGAAGCAAAAAGAAACCCATAAATCTTGAAAAAAATTGTCTATAAGAAATGAAATTGAGCTCAAAAAATGGAAATCTCACTTCAATTAAGCAACTTTTCAGAAGTATATGCATGATAACAAAAAGAAGCATCCTTTCTTCACTAATTGGACACTAACAGAAAACCCTAATTCATATTATTCAGATTACAAATACACGGGACCAAATAGCTAAGAAAGCTGGAAAATTTGACCCCAATCAAACACAAAATTGTTCTGGTTATACATGCGATACCCACCTAACATATCAACCAATTCCAAATTAAAATGGAAAATGAAATGAAGCAACATAAATTGAATACAATTTGGGGAAAATTTGGGGAAAATTATCTCACCAATTAAATGAGATACTACACACATTTTTGAATCTATGAAATAGAAGAAGAATTAAATGAGGACCAAATCCTTTTCCTCTCCCTTCTCTCTCTCCGTTTCAATTGCTTTCAAATGACAGACAAATACAACCACCATACATGAAATCACATTTTCGGTTCTCCCAAGAACTAAAGCTGAAAAACAAAGTAGACTTCCAAAATCAAAATAATTTATTTTACCATCCTCAACGTGCTGGAAACCCAAAAGAAAAAAAACAGAAATGAAAGCAAAGGGAATAACTTTAACCAAAAATGGACTTAAAGCACGCAATTAGCACTCAATTCAGTGAATTCATTAATCTCTTATCCTTTTTTCCCTCGATTTTCTTGGAAACCAAACAGAAAATTAGAAATGAGTTGAACGCTGTTCAAAACGGAGAAAAGTGCCAATTCCCTATCACTGAATTTCTAATATCAAACAAACAAAATTAATCCAAACTCAAAACAACATTGAACATAAATATTCAAACTTTACTAACTTTTAGCTCTCTAATTTACTATCAATATACATGAACAAAGTTGAGGATTTGCTTTATGATAGCCATCCAACAGAAATCACACAAAATCAACAAATCATTGAAAAAAAACACTCATGGAGTTCTGATTAAATATGTAATTATTGGATCATTTGCTTCTACAACAACTTAAGATGTCATTGAATGGGAATGAGTTAGGTTTTTAGCATTTTCTATTAAAGGATATCAAAGTGGAATGGAACATAATAACAAACAGCCAAAACCAATAACAAAACGGCTGTGCGTGAACAGCATGTAGTGTTGTACACAGCTGCACTGAAAATATTGCCAATTATAAGGCATAAGTGAACCTTAAGACATAGCGAAATTTGAAATAAGCTAAACCAATAGAGAAAAAAAATATGGAACCCAAATTTTAAAAAATCCAACGCTTTGTAGAGAAAGATAGCAGCTTTACCTCCCCTCCAAGAACAGTAATCGAAATTCCCCCACTTGGGTTTGTTGGGTGGTGATGGTGATTCCGCTGTGAGAGAGAGCTGGAGAAAATGAAAAAAAATCTTAGTAAGACAACGAATAAAAATCACAAATCATAACTCAAATTCAGTTTTCCATTAGCATTTTTTCAAAAGAAAACCATTAATCACAAACATATGTAAAAAAACGAAAGTTCTAACAATAAAAACCAAACCCTGAGAAGTTGAGCTTTTTCACAGTGAGTCAAGGAGGAGAAACGGGCCTGAGGGACGTGAGTTCAGTTAGCTTGGAAACTTTGGAGGCAAAAGGGCATTGATGACCTGCAAAGCATTTCACCGAATTTTGTAGAAGAGGGATGAGAAAAAATTAACAAAACTTTCAATATCCAAATTCCTAATCAAACGTATATAAGCAAAATTGGCAGAAACAAAAATAGGTGAGAATAAAACAATAATACAACAATAAAACTCAAAAGAGATCCTCAAAATGCTTCAATTTCAATGAAAATTTTTGAACTTGTCAAATTAAAAAGCTACGGTTCAACAATCTGAACTTCACTTATACCGAACATTTTGGAATAATACTTACCTTCTTCTAATGCAGGGAAGGAAGAGAATAATCCATACAAAGTCCTACTTATTTCCAACTCCAACGCTAACCCTTCTGCATCACCGTTGTAAAAAGAAAAATATATTATAGTTTGATCAAATACTGATATGCAGTAGTGTAGCTATATGAAATAGAGATTTTTATCACTTCTAATTTGCAAAACTTTTGCTTACATTCAGTTAGAAAAAGCTTTATTATATCATACACAGAATTTTGCAGAAGTTGTCAAATAATTACCATCTAAACATTGAGAATAACCCACATCCACATCGCACAAAATTTTATAGAAAGAGGACAAAGAGATGAGTGACCAAACCAATATGATGCAATCAAATCCCCTTGAAGCCTGCTGAGAGATAAATAAATGGTGTCGCCAGAAAGATTAAATGCATTCTTCTAACTATATAGTGATTGTTTGGGTGGAAGACAGTTCGAATGGACTAATTTTCAATCAAACGGATTTATAAATGAAAGAACAGAGTTCAGATAACGAAATGCTTCAGATAACGAAATGCAACATAGTAAAATTCAAGATCACAATTAAGAGGATTTGAACTATATTGTGTTGAAAACTCACCAAAGAGTGACAGTTCCAAGGCGGTAATGGTTACGGTTCTTGACTCCTCCAGTTATGGGTGTAGATTTTATTGCAGCCTATACAAAATTAAAACAATTAGCAACTTAGATCCAATAATCTGATTGTTTCTAGGGAAAAATCGCTTGCAATTATTAAATCTAATTTTATAGACATTAGAAACGCAAACGAAACGCACCTTGGTGGCAAGTACCTTCCCTTTCTGCAATTATTTTCCTGGAAAAAAAAATCACATGCATATTTATACACATAAAAGGTTGCAATGAAAAATATGGACAAATGATCTGCTGACGAAACAAAAAAAATTAAATACTTCACTTAAAAGGAAAGTTAACTCCAGCGACAGAATGAAAATCTATACCTTTAACATGAAAATCAATGGAAAAATTAAATACCTCACAATATATGCAATAGTTCAATGAATAAGAGACTTAAGACCTATTAAAGTTGCTATTCTTCGAAACACAGCAGCATAATCATTCAAGTTGATGCATATTTCAATTAAACTGATGTATATTTCAATCGAGCCTCATTAAAAATAGAAAATACAGCAGCACAAAGCATAACAAAAGCTTGGAAATGGAAAAGGAACCTGCAATTAGGTTTCTTTGAGAAGAAAAAATGGCAGAACAGAACCCAGAATCACAAAGACAGAGACAGTGTGGAGTGAGTCGGAGGATATAGCAAGACTGAACCTTTCTACCAGGGAAAACAATAGACTGTCGATGAACTAAACCACCTAAAAAAATCTATGACAACTTTAAAGAAGGAAAAAATATCTAACAATTTGAAGAAAGCAGATGGCAAATCAAACAGTAAACAATGAATTAAAAACAATAAACTCATCCATACCTCTAGCTCCCATCTTTATCCAATCTGTCAGTCCCTCAAAGTCACCCATACCTCCCTCAGTCACCCCTTCCTGACCGGCCAACCCCACAAACTGCACACAACCACGCCTTCCCCGTCCTTCTCTCTCTCTCTCTCTCTTTCTCTCTCTCTTTCCCTCTATCTCTCTCTAAAATCAGAGGAAACCCCATAGGTCCTGACAGAGGACCTAGATAAATCTCTCTCTCACTGAGTCGAAAGCCCTAGCACCAATCTCTCTCCAATATGCCAGTCCCTCTGTCCTCCCCCAACCACCCGAAGCATAACCATCTCTCCCCGAGTCAAAATTGGCGGCCCTCACTCTCTCTCCATTCTGTCAGCTCGCATCTCTCTCTAATCTGCAGGTGACTCCTCTCTGTGGGTGATTCTGTGCCCAAACCCCATTCCCATCCGCCCAATACAATTCCAACCAAGCAAATAAAATCCCATCCGGAGCCCAAACCCACAAAGCCCATTTTTTTAAAGGAATGGCATGCCCGTAAATAAAGTGAAATTCAGGTACAATGAACAGTAAGAAACAGTGCCAATTGCAATGCTTTCTTTAGACTAAAGTAATGAGACTGGATAAGTTATAATGGAAAGATTATGATTAAATTTGGTTACCGTGTGAGGTCATCGCCATGCACGGTTCTTAATGCAACCCTTAGGTCTAATTGCTTCTTATTTGTCCAATTTTTTTTAGTCACGACTTTGACAGAGACGTTTGCAGTATGTTGCAAATTTATAAGCATAGAAATAATTTTGGTTGCCATGACAACATCTTAATTCTTCATTATCATAAAATCTCAAAAACTTAAATTGCTATTAGTAATTTTAGGATAAATCATGAAACTTTCCCTCCTAATAGCAATTCAAGCTTTTAAGATTTTGTGATAATTTTGCTAATTGTGTTATTAAGTTTTCTATTTTTTTTTATATTTAAAAAAAAACAATATGATTTACACTAAGAGAGTGGGCACGTAGGCTAAGTCTCACTATAGACTAACAATAATATGGTTCAAATTCGTGTTTGGCAAGAATCAAACTGAAGATGAAAATTTTTGTAATAGTTTTTTCTTTTCCAACGTGTACTTTGTCTCATAGCTTTCATTGCCTCGGGTCATTTGGAATTAACTCCAGGACTTGGATGCCAACGGGTAACAAATCATGCGCGTTAATTCCCACAGGTACTTGGTGTCACGGGATGACTCTTTAAGCCTTCCGCCCGTGCGGCACTTAGACTTGAATACCTCGATGAACAAGCTAAGTAAGCCTTCGAAGCCTCGCTTCCCCGGATCGAATCACAAAGAAAGCTAAGATAGCTTGGAGAATGCTAAAATCACTTAGAAGATCGAATCACAAAGAAAGCTAAGATAGCTTGGAGAATGCTAAAATCACTTAAAAGATGGGAGAAAGGAAGCTTTGTATTGAAACTTAAGAGAACTTTACAATTGCTTACAATTCTTGGATGCCTTGGCCAAATGGTCTTGCCTCCTATTTATAGGCCTAAGTTACCTCCTCAATGGAGGGTTCTAGAATTCCCTACTTACATCCAAAAATATCTAGCATAGTTCTAGATACAACTTGCCTAATGTAGATTGTTCTAGGTGAGGCTTAAATTTGTACACTTGTGTGGAATGTTCCGGAATGCCCTAGATTATCTTGAACGCTCCGCCATGTTCTTGATTTTTCCGGGATGTTCCAGAAGCTTCCATGAAGACAAGGCTTTATGGGCTTAGAAATATGATGTCTTGGGCGATTTCTTTGTTTTTAACATATGGCCTGTGACATCCTCCCCCACTTAAGCCGTAGACGTCCTCATCGACCCTTGCCTCTCGAATGTCTTAATCAAGTCTTTATATTGCCATAAGGACGTCTCCTTCTCCCATGTTGCTTCAGAGTATGGTAGCCCCTTCCATTTGACAAAGTACTCCACATGCTTTGGTTGTCTTGGTCGCACCACGACATGCTTGGCTTCAATGCTTTCCGCTTCTTTGTCAAATGCCTTCGTCATCAAAGGGGGTGCTCGATGAGACTCACCTCGGCTTGGTTCCTCATCGTCTGCATGATAAGGCTTCAAGTTGCTCACATGGAACACCGGGTGAAACTTGAGGCGGGGTAGGAATTCCACAACATACGCGGCTTTGCCAACCTTCTTGATGATAGGGAATGGTCCCTCATATTTCCGCAACAAGCTCTTGTGCAAGCCATGAGTACTCTTGTGCTGAGACGCATTGAGCTTCACAAAGACTTGGTCGCCAGTTTAGAACTCCACATTCCTTCGCTTACGATCCGCCCATTTCTTCATCTTCTTTGAAGCCTTCTCCAAATGAGCTCGAGCAAGTTCGTGGGCTAATTGCCACTCCTTAGCGGTTTTGAAAGCGGCTGGACTATTCCCCGTGTAGCCAGTCACGACCGTGTTCAGGGTCAAGGGTTGTTGCCCTATAGCCAACTCGAACTGACTTTTCCCCGTCGACTCCGAACGTTGCAAGTTATAAGAGAATTGGGCAACATCAAGTAACTTAGCCCAATCTCGTTGATTGGCACTAACATAGTGCCGCAAATAAGTCTCTAACAATGTATTAACCCGCTCCGTTTGTCCATCAGTTTGGGGATGAAAAGCTGTGGAAAAGTCTAACTTTGAGCCAAGTAGTTTAAAGAGCTCCTTCCAAAATCTACCCGTGAAGCGAGCATCTCGATCACTGACTATGCTCCTCGGAACACCCCAATACTTCACCACGTGCTTTAGAAACAAGCGTGCAGCTACTTCGACTGTGCACTCCACAGGTGCGGGTATGAAAGTGGCATACTTGGTGAATCTATCGACCATGACGAAGATAGATCCACATCCATCAGACTTGGGCAAATGTGTGATGAAATCCATGGTTAAACACTCCCATGGTCTTGATGGGGTGGGAAGTGGTTCCAACAGTCCTCCCGGTTGCCTTTGTTCCCCTTTCTCTTGTTAGCACACAAGACAAGTCTTCACATATGAATCTACATCATCCCGCATTTGTGGCCAATAATAAGCATCGCTCACCAAAGCCAATGTGCGGTGAGTGCCAGGATGTCCTGCCCACATTGAGTCATGGCACTCTTTAAGGATTTCTTTCCTTAAGCTTCCCCACTTTGGGACGTAGATCCGTTTACCCTTGGTGTATAACAAGTCGTCCTCAAGCCAAAACCTTCTTGTCTTCCCATCCTTGACAAACTCCACAATGTTCTTGGCTTAGACGTCATGTGATAAACCTTCTCGGACACGGCCCAAGAGATGGCTTTGCGGCTTAAGTACCGTAGCCATTAACTCTACTCGTCTACTTAGAGCATCGGCTACCACGTTCTCCTTTCCTTGCTTGTACTCTAGCTTGTAATCAAACTCCGCTAAGAACTCTTGCCACCTTGCTTGCTTAGGTGTGAGCTTTTGTTGGGTTTGAAAGTAGCTAGTGGCAACGTTGTCCGTCTTGATGATGAATGGGGTACCAAGCAAGTAATGCCTCCAAACCCTAAGGTAATGGACGATGGCGGTCATCTCCTTTTCATGGGTTGTGTACCTCTTCTCGGCATTGTTTAGCTTGCGCTTTCATAGGCTATCGGATGTCCCTCTTGCATCAACACTCCTCCTATGGCAAAGTCGGAAGCATCAGTGTGCAACTCGAATGGCTTACTAAGGTCGGGCAACCTTAGTACAGGCTCCTCCATTAGAGCCTTCTTCAACCTCTCAAAGGCCTCTTGACACCGGTCCGTCCATTAGCATGCCTTGTTCTTCTTAAGAAGGTCTGTTAAGGGTGCCGCTATGGCTGAATACCCTTTAATGAATCTCCGATAGTAGTTGGCTAGCCCCAGAAATGATCATAGTGTTAGTACCTTGGTCGGCGGTTCCCACTCTTGAATGGCCTTGATCTTGCCCTTTTCCATCATAAGTTTCCCCTCCTTTATCTTGTGGCCAAGAAATTCTACTTCTTTTGTGGCAAATGAGCATTTCTCCTTCTTGACATAAAGTTCATGCTCCCGAAGGGTCTTGAACACTATGCGCAAGTGCTTGACGTGTTCCTCCAATGTCTTGCTATAGACAACGATATCATCAATGTAAACCACGACAAACTTGTCAAGATAAGGATGGAATACCTTGTTCATCAATGTGCAGAATGTTGCGGGGGCATTGGTCAGACCAAATGGCATGACTTTATACTCAAATGATCCATATCTGGTCACCATCGCCGTCTTCGATTCGTCTCTAGGGGCTATCCTCACTTGGTAGTATCCCAATCGAAGATCTAACTTTGTGAAGTACCTTGCTTTACCAAGTTGATCGAATAAGTCGGCGATCAACGGAAGTGGGTACTTGTTCTTGATGGTAATCTTGTTCAATGCCCTATAGTCGATGCACAACCTTAGGCTACCTTCTTTCTTGTGTTGGAACAAGACGGGTGCACCATATGGGGACTTGGAGGGTTGGATGTAACCAGCATCAAGTAGCTCGTTGAGTTGCTTCCTCAATTCCTCCAACTCGGGTGGCGACATCCTATAAGGTGATTTGGAAGGAGACTTAGCACCAGGCTCCAACTCAATCGCATGGTCGACCTCTCTCCTTGGTGGCAACTTCTTTGGCAGTTCCTTAGGCATCACGTCCGCAAACTCTACAAGGACCGCTTCCACTTGTTTCGGCAAAGGCCCGTACTTCTCCTCCCCTTCATTCAACATTAGGGTTGCAAGAAATGTGGCCTCGCCTTTCTTCCAAGACTTGGCAAATTGAATTGCCGACAAGTGCTGGGTACACTTATTGGCTTGCCTTTCCAATGGCACCAGGCAAGGTTGTCTTCCGTCGGCCAGGATACAAAAAATATTGTAGAAGGGAATGGGAAAGGCTCGTACCTTGTCCATGAACTCTAACCCAATGACTACGCCATAGTCGTCCATCTTGACTACGGTGAAGTCGATCTTTCCCTTTCATGTGCCAATGTCTACTTGTACATTGCGCGCAACTCCAACAATGGGGATGGCAGTGGAATTTACCGTCTTCACGCTACCAGGCTCCTTTGTGACTCGGAGGCCAAGCCTTGTGGCTTTCTCCGACGTCATGAAGTTGTGGGTTGCTCCCGTGTCCACCAACACGCGCATCGTCTTGTCACCAGTCTTGACGTCGACAAACAATGATCTTCCCCCAACTTAAGCCTTAGGTTGTGGGAGGGTTGTCTGGATGGCATTCAGTAGATGGATGCATCCCATCCTTGCATCGTTACTCTCCTCGGCCTTGTCCTCCTTGAAAGCCATGGCCTTAAGGGCCTTCTTTTGTGGGCAATCTCGCATCATGTGAGGGCCGTCGCATAGGTAACAAGTGGGTTGCCAAGACTTACCCTTGCTTTTGTCATGCTTATCGGCTTTCTTCTCCTTCGGTTTGCTTGTCTCGGCCTTGTCCTTCGGCTTATGTTCTCCCCCACTTCTCTCATGGTTACCCCTCTTCCCCGTGGACTTCGAATCACCTTGGTGGCTTGATTTAAACTCAATCAAGGATTCGGCGGCAGCAATGGCATCAGACAATGTTTACACGTGTCTCCTTTGTAGTTCGAGTTTTGCCCAATTTTGCAGTCCACTCATGAAGTACATGAGCTTGTCTTCCTCTAACATGTTGGGCACCTCGAATAACAAGCTCACGAAGGCGTTGACATAGTCTTTGACGCTCCCCGTTTGCTTGAGCTACCTTAGTTTCTCCTTGGCTTCGTACTTGGCATTTTGGGGATAGAAGTGCAACATAAGATCTTTCTTAAATTCATCCCAAGTGGTGAGGGAGAACGTACCTTGCTCAATCTCCATGCTCCGGCGACGCCACCACATAAGGGCATTGTCAGCTAAGAACATGGTTGCTGTTGAGATTTTGGACTCGTCATCTTCAAGCTTCAGGTACTTGAAGTATCACTCCACGTTCCACACGAATGTGTCGAGCTACTTTGCTTCCCTCTTCCCATTATAGGATTTGGGTTTAAAGGAGTCGATTACCTTGGAGTCCAACGCCTTGATTTCCCTCGGCCCTTGCACGAATTGTTTCACGACCGCTTCTTTACAAAACGCCACATCTCCCTTAAGTTCCCTTGTGTCCTTTATCTCTTCTTGAAGCGCCACAAACCTTGCCTCTATGTTGTCAAGGTGAACCTGGACTTCCCTCCGTATCTTGTTTGCCATGGTGTTAAGAGTGCCAAGAAGCTCATCTTGTAGCCCTTCCACCAAGCCACGCAGTTCATCCTTACCATTGTCCACCATGGTTTGGATTTCCTCCTTGTCGACAACGTCCTCATCAAGTCGAGTATCAAACTCGAGTATGGTTCGTTCCACCTTCTCGAGTCGCTCTTCCATGGTCTCCATCGATGCTTGCAAGTCCTTTAACTTTGGCTTGCTCTTGGCAACGTCTTGGACCTCGGCAGTACGCTCCCTTAGCTCGGAGACTCCGGACACCATCTCTCCACTTGCCATATCCTACTTTCCTTCAAGTGATTCACAAACTAGGCTCTGATACCAGCTGTCACGGGATGACTCTTTAAGCCTTCCGCCCGTGCGGCACTTAGACTTGAATACCTCGATGAACAAGCTAAGTAAGCCTTCGAAGCCTCGCTTCCCCGGATCGAATCACAAAGAAAGCTAAGATAGCTTGGAGAATGCTAAAATCACTTAGAAGATGGGAGAAATGAAGCTTTGTATTGAAACTTAAGAGAACTTTACAATTGCTTACAATTCTTGGATGCCTTGGCCAAATGGTCTTGCCTCTTATTTATAGGCCTAAGTTACCTCCTCAATGGAGGGTTCTAGAATTCCCTACTTACATCCAAAAATATCTAGCATAGTTCTAGATACAACTTGCCTAATCTAGATTGTTCTAGGTGAGGCTTAAATTTGTACACTTGTGTGGAATGTTCCGGAATGCCCTAGATTATCTTGAACGCTCCGCCATGTTCTTGATTTTTCCGGGATGTTCCAGAAGCTTCCATGAAGACAAGGCTTTATGGGCTTAGACATATGATGTCTTGAAATTTTGACAAAAGTCAAAATTTATAAGTTAACATACACCAATTTCTTTATTTGAATTCATAAACATAACAATTTAAAATTTCCGCGTGGAAAACAAAACTTGGAATTTGAGACCTTCAATTCCCAAGTTTAAATTTCATGTAAATATGTATCATTTCTAAATTTCTGAGTGAGAGTTTAAAAATAACAAATTCCTTAGTCAAACTCCATTGTTTCTTGGAAACTTTAATGAAAAGCACCTGGTACTGTTCACTTTAACGAAAAACCACATTTTTACACTAAAAAGTCAATCCTGGTACTATTCACTTTACCCTTTATTTTGTCCTTATCATTAAAACTCAAAGTTTTCAAGCCCTTTTCATTAGTTTTCCTTTGTTTCTTTAGGTTAACCAAACAAGAAAATTTACAAATTCTAGAAAATAAAATTTCATCATTTTAAAATTCCTTAATAATATGAAATTTCTTCATCCAAGCATAGTACAAGTGTTCAAAGTTTGACCTTTTAGCCTAACTTGAGGCTGATTAAAATACGCCTATTTGCAAAAATCTTATGGCTGGAGTATGTTTTGTTCAATTTTGGGACTAACATTATTCAAATGCCCTCGAATAGAGATTATCTCATGGACAATTTTACTAGTCACGTGGATATTATTTGTCTGTGACTGATTGGAGGATCGAGTGATTCTGAATGACAACCTAATTCCCGATGTAACAAGGAATTGCCCACCAAACACATTCAAACAAGGTTTAGTCTTTACCCATTTTAGGTTCATTGACTATCTAATTTTCTTGTGAGCTCCATTCATGTGTGCCCTATCCTATTTCTTGTTTATATTCAGACACAGAGTCTATTGACTCTCAAGGAAGCTTGGCATTCAACTTGATTGGGAATGGATTGGTGGTTTGGTATGGACTGAGAATATAAAATATGCAACATATACCAGCGCAAGAAAACTGATACAATGTCGGTGCACTTTAATCAATAAAAGATATCCGTGTAGTATTGCACTCTAGTATTATTTGCCTCCATTAATAAATGAAAGATCTGTTGTAGGGCCTTTTAAGTGAATAATTAGAGAGAAATTGAGAGAGACGGTGTGGCTAGCATAGAGAAAATTTGATGAATTTTGAGGTGTGATTTTTCACCCTATTGTAAATTTATTTAATTTAAAGTAGTAAAAAAAGTAAATTCCTTACCCTTTAGGTATTACAACTTAAACAATATACTATCTAATAGATATGACAGAATCTCGTAAGAATTTCCTAGGATTTACACAATCTTATTATTACAATAAATAGGATGATCGGTATAAGATGCCAAAGGGGTTTCCACTATGACTGCACCACCTGAATGATGAGTTTGGAATCCCCCTCCACCACAAGCTTTCTCACACCTTTGCACCTGGCAAAAGAAAGACCTTTCCTTAAAACAATGGCTTCCGTGAGCAAGATGGTGGCCCCATCGAGATTGAAAGCACCAACTTAAATAAAGAAAAAAAATTATTTGAATTCATATAACGTCAAACTTAAAATTTATCTTTTTTTCTTATTGCATATTTACAATCAAGTACAAAATAAATTTAACAGTAAAACTAAAAATATTATACTTACCCCCAAAATCAAACCTACCATCGCTCAATTTTTATCTAAAGCTCGTTTATTGCTTCCTGTGAAATTGCTTCCTGTGAAAATAGTAGTATCTAGTTCAAATATATCATAACGTCTGGCGGCAGTGTTTCATTCTAGGGAATTGGGTTTGTGCAGACCGAGAGTAAAAAGTTGGAATCTCTTCCAAATTGATTAAAGATTGACCATGGTCAAATTGATGTATTGTTTAAGCGTGGCATGGTATACGCCTTGGTCCAAAATGGTGACAGTGAGTGTGGAAACGTTGATATAGCTCGCACAAAATAAGCTTTGGAGATGGTGATGAAGTGGAATTGAAGTTGGGTTTTGATAAAAAAGAAGAAGATTTTTTTTGGTAAAGAAGAAGAAGATCGGGACAGTGATGATAATGAATATCATTCTTCTTATACAGATGAGAACAATGTATATTATTGTGCCTACATTTTCGACTTTAGCGAGAATAGAGAAGAGGATCACCATCCTGCGTGTTCACTTCTTTTATGGGAAATATTGGAGTAGCAAGTTCGCACATTTTAAAATTAGATATGGAAATGGTTGCAGAATCAGAGTCCTTTTCAACTGATTTTGGCTTTTTATTTTTAAATGGATGTAAAGTTAAATACATATTAAATTAGGTGTACGAGGACAATTTTAAGTAGTAAATTTGAATTTAAAAAGATATTAATAGTTTAATTAAAAGTAATATTGTTCAATTTTTTTTTAAAGTAATATGAACGTAGAGAGTATGTGCTCAAATAAAATCCCTCATATAAATTAGATTATGATGATACTCTCCTCAATTCATATCAACAAAATTTTCAATGTGCCGGAAATACAGGCTCGTACATCGTGTCGTAATACAATTCATTGAAATTTATTTTTCAAGTTTCCAATTAATTGTAGTAAAACACTTGTGTACCAGGCTGTGTTCTCAGAATATTGAAAATCTCTCCAATTTATTGTATGTGGTTCCCAACACTACAAAAGAAATTGACAAATGTCATGACATAATTGCACAAAATAGTGTGTACAAAGGAGGTAGATTGTCTGCCCCCCTCCAATTTCCATACTCTTCTCATTCCCTCCTGTTTTGTATAGTTACAGTTAAGCTACGTCAACGTTTTATATTCCTATTACTTTTTGTTTTATTATTTTTATAAAAAAATCAATATAAAATGTTGATGTGACTTAACAGTGACCACACAAACAAGAGGGGATGAGAAAAGTATAGAAATGGGAGGGCAAACAATCCACCTCCGTGTACAAAAGCCTAACAATAAAATGGCCACTAATTAGCCTTTACCTACCCCATTCTGAAGGATTTGGATTGTCTGCCCTCTCCATCTCATATCCTTCACTTGCCCTCCTATATTATGTGGTCACGGTTAAGCTACGTCAACATTTTATATTGATCTTTTTATAGAAATAATAAGATAAAAGCAATGAAAATATAAAATGTTGACGTAGTTTAACCGCAACCACAAAAATAGTAGGGCATGGGAATGGTATGGGATGGGGAGGGCAGACAATCTAAGTCCCATTCTAAAATCACAACTTTTCTAAACATGAGGGGCCATATATTAAAGTTTTCAGAAACTTTGCGAGTGTAAAATGACATTTATAAGTTAACATAATCTTTTTACCTAACCTAGAAGTTTGGACATCTTATGGAAGAACAAATGGAAGAAATCAAAATGAGTCCATTCTTCTTTCTTGCACTCATTTACATACTCCATATATTTTTTATAATTAATATTTCTTGCACAAATGAGCTTCCTGATTTCAAAATTTCCTTTAAATAAGGAACAAAGACTGCAGGGCAAACGCAAGATACGTAGCTAATCTTTATCTCTCTAAATCTAAAACCATGAAACTTTCTAGTCTGAGTGCGGCTGCTGCTGCTCTTATGCTTCTTCTTCTTCTTTTACTGGCTGCAAGTTCAGAGGCCGCAATAACATGCAGTGACGTAACCAAGGACCTTAGACCATGCCTGAGCTACCTTGTAAGTGGCTCAGGGAAACCACCTGCTGCATGTTGTGCTGGAGCCTCAGCCCTCGCATCTGCTGTGTCAACCTCTGCTGATAAGAAGGCTGCATGTGCCTGTATTAAATCGGCAGCCCAGAAAATTAATATCAAATCCCAGTTGGCCCAAGCTCTCCCTGGGAACTGTGGGATCAACTTGTCCTTCTCTATTTCTCCAAATACTGACTGTTCAAAGTAATTCATTCTCTCTCACGCCCCATCCAGTTACATATTATTTTCATTGATTATTCCCAATTAATTTTACTATCAGAATACAGTTTACATTATTGACTCAAATTTTTTTTCTTGTTGCTCCACTGTTGCACTTGCAGGATTGGTTGAACCATTGAAGCTGAAGCAGCTTGAACATTTGGAAATAAAAGGAGTTCTCTTAATCCGTACCGATATGCATATAGAAAAACCCAGTTCTGCCCGTGCGTATTACAATCCTGAAGATCTGCTCATGCATGCATCTTTCGGACCCCTCTACGAAATAAAGTAAAATCTATCTAAAATTAATACATGGCCTGAGTGTGTTAATTTTCTGCTTAATTACTAGTTTGTTCCTAGCGCGCTTGTTCTGGATTAAATAAGAGTTTTGCCCCTAAATATATTACATGGGAATGAAGACAATCATTTGTGTTGTACTCTGACATATGTATTTTATTTTTATATTTTTTATAATCGCAAAGTGAATCTCACTTCAACGTTGCTATCATGGGAAGTGATATGAGGATAACTTATTAATAAACAAGAAGCATACAATATGTTAAGGGGACACAAAGCTAAACCCAGACTGTTAAAAAATTCATAAAAAATAAGTCAAACCATTTTTAGCAAAACCTATAATAAGAAAGCTAAGAAGGGTTATGAGAAAGGAGATGCAGTGTAAGAAGGCATGAATCCGACCAACACTAGGATGCTCAACACCATAATTGTTAAACAATCATTAACTTGATTACCTTCTCTAAAAATATGAGAAATCTGAACCTGCGTGGAGGATAATAAAACTCGACAATTATGCCAACTAACCAAAAGCCTTCAGAGGACTAATGTCAAAGAAGGCGAAGATGAAGAAAAAAGGTGAAAAACCAGTGAGGAATCACACTCAATCCATAATGAATGCCAACCTCTACCCTAGTCTAAAGATACAACATGAATAACAACGTGTAGTTCGGCGTCCAAAGAGGAGACCAAACTCATTGAATCCACAAAACAACCAAGAGAATGACCCATAAAATTATGAATGATACCACCAAATGCAGCCAAACCAAGGGAACCTCTTGCAACACCGTCAATAATTACTTTGACCTTGATTTTTGTTGAGCTTTTTCCTATTCCATGTACTACTTGCTCCAATGTGAGATGGGAGAAGCTCTTAACGAGCGAAGTCGCAAGTGGACACTGCTTCTTGAGTGTTCTTTACAGCGTGGACCAAACTGTGAATGTACACTTGCATGTGGGCCAATTCAGGAATGCACGCTTCTTGAGTGTTCTTTAGATCCTCGTTCACATGAAATACAAATTATGGTCAAGAGATGAAACTTTAAATTAACCAAAATGTCTTACTTTATATCATCTCTGGTCCACCTTATTGTAACACACAAGTTACACTTTATGCTTCATTGAAGCCTTAAATATGCCAATGCAGATATCCTTCATCTAATTAAACCACTATAACCTGCAGGTGTGAATACATCTCCAAAACAATCATACATCACTTTCATTAGACTAATAACAAGAGAAACAATGTTTGTAGCCAACGGACCCAATTGAAAATATCAAATAGGCACATGTCCAAATAAAATATCCCAACACTTCATAAAACAAATTAATTCGAGACTTGTGAGCAAGATGAATTAACATGTTTTTGACACTGATCTATGCACCATACCAGTTACTTTCATGGTGATTTCCAACACTTGCGGGCAAATGGAAATCCTCACAACTGAGACAGTGCATAGACCATGTCATGACATTTAATATGTAATTTGATAACAACTTGATATCCGATATATATTTCATCAGATAATTGACTAGTACACTAAAATGTACCTTCATGAATCCAACTAGAGATTAAACTGAATACATGGATTATATACGTACCTTATATGTCATTTGCAAATGTAAGACATTACTAACACAAAATTCAAGCTCCCACTGATTTGCAACATCATTACTTAATTTGCAAATACACATTTGTGCTAAATCCTTATGAGCCCCAAAACAAATGGTCAATTGAGGAATTCAAATGATTGCAAAAAATGTATGATTATACCAAGTATCCCTTCATGCAACTTAAACATATTATTGTCATTCGAGTCATCAACCAAAACATAAATTCATGAAAGATAGAATAACGCTTTAATAGATTCATGGAAGTCCACTTAATGTTCAAAATTTTAGAACAACTCCCACTAAATTTTTAGAGTTTATACTTGCAAATAAGTTAATGAGTGTGAAGCCCAATTTTTGTTCACTAATTCTCCCACCTGGGCAAACACTCGTTAATATATTCTTTCAAAGATGTACCTAAAGAAAATTGCTTTATATTTTAGATATAATAAAATAGACATCACAACCAACATAAAGTTGTCAAACAGAATTTTAACGAGTTACACCTACTTAAGAATTTATCATAATTAATTTATACTCTTGATTGCAACCAAAATTATACATATCAAAATAGACATATGAATCTCCATAAAATAAAAATATAGAACCGTTTTGGGTCAGAATTACTTTAGTCTAAAGTAAGCATTGGAATTGGCACTGTTCCTTACTGTTCATGCACCTGAATTTCAGTTTAATTACATCCATACCATTGGTTTAATGAGTGGGCTTTGTGGAAGTTTTGGGTTCGGCCTGGGGGCTTTTTTTTGGGTTTGGGCAGATGGCCTTTTGCTGGTTTGGCCTATGGCTGGTTTTATTTGGTTGGTTTCGGTAGGGATAGGAAAGCGGTGAGGTGAATGTCGTGAGTCCAGTGTAGCTTGCAGAATGGCAGGGAGTAGAGTATAGATGGAAGAGTCGTGGGTGAGAGAAGAGGAGAGAGGGAAGAGTCGTGCGTTTGAAACGGGATGTGAGGAAAGACGGGAGGAGAGAGAGAGGGGTAGGATGAGCGAATCAAGGGTAGGGGGTGCCTGAGAGTTTGGTTTGAAGGGTCGACAGCAAAGGGTGCGGAGAGAGACGGCGAGGCAAGTTGGGAAGGCTAGGGGTAGGGTTCCTTTCGGGATTTTGGTTCCAGCTGGATGCCATTTCTTCAACAATTAATGGGGAAGGCATGGTTGCATGCAGTTTCTGGGGTTGTGGGAGACATTTATGGATTTTGTCCAATGTTTTTAAAGAAGGATAGAGAGTGAGAGGGAGAGGGCAGAAAGCATGATTTGATTGAGTGGCAGGGATATTTAGAGGTTTTGTACTCTTATTCAATAGCTCAAACACTGTTTTTCAGTCATTGTTTATTGTTTGGTTTGTCATTTGCTTTGTTAAAACTATGATTACCATTTTATTGTTTCGATTAGGTTGTAAAGGAATTTTATAGCCCGTTTAGTTGGGTGTTAGCAAGATCAATCTGGTTAGTGCACTGTTTCGTGCACTGTTAGAGTCAGGTTTGTGTCTTTATAACTTTGGTAGTTACACTGTGCTCATTTCTCTGTTTCTTCATGCTTTGCTCCTGTTTCCTTCTCAACAAATCAAACTGAGGTTCCTTTCTGCTTTACATCCTTTTAATATCTCTCTGTTACTAGGTTGTTTCTCCATACTTTGTTGCTTCTATATTTTTGTGATAAGGGTGTTAGAAGGCTGTTTTAGTTGTTGTTTTGCTCCTCTGTTGATAGATTGTTTTTGCAAATCTTGGTTGCTTATGTATTTTTGTTACTAGATTGTTTCTCCATACTTTGTTGCTGCTGTATTTATGTGATAAGGGTGTTAGAAGGCTCTTTTAGTTATTGTTTTGCTCATCTGTTGTCGTGTTTAATTTTGTTTTGTTTTGTTTTTTGCTTTAGGAAATCGTGGTTCTTCAGATTTGGGCATTTTGTTTGCAGCCTTCAAAGCACTGTTGTATTTAAGGTGAGCAAAATTCAAGATTTTAGAGTTTTGATTTAGAGACGATGCCTGATAAATTCGGTAGGAAATTTGAGATAATACTAGGAAAAGTTTTGCTCTTTTCTAAACTAGGTTGTTGGATTCTTTTATCTGGGAACATTTTAGATTGAAAAACTGTAACTTTGTGCGAGGTTTCATGAAATATAGGAAGTGTGCTTCCTCACTTTATGTTTCTATATTCTTGCGTTTTTCCATTACAGTATTGAACTCAGTGAAATGCTATTATGAATTGGAGTGGTTCCTATTGTCTTTGAGTGATTCTTATCACACAACAATCAGGGAGAAAAATCCCTCTCTTTTTTTAATAATTTTTACTCTAGGTCTACGATTATCTAAATGATGCAGCACTGAACAAGAGTTAGGCCTTCAACTTAGCGTCGCAAAAACTTACTACCAATAGAGAGTTTGTAAGCACTTATGTTCCGACTCAGATCCTTACCGATATTTTGTGAATGTTGAAACGATATAGCACTAGGCCCAAGGTTGAGAACAGGTTAGATTTTTTTATTTTTTTTGTGTGATTAACGTATTTGTAAAACTTGATTGCATGGCATAATCTATAAAACTAAAACTTGGTTCCATGACATAACCTCTCCGACAACAAAGTCATGCTTGAAAGTTTGCATGTACTGGCAACCCTTAATCCTTATCCATACTAAATTAATAATCACAAAAATAATTTTGTATTCAATTAACATAGTCGTGGTGAAATGTTACTTTCATCTTTCTGTTCAATGAAAGAAAACCTTTTCAAAAGGGTTTTCTTTTGTTTTTCTCACACACCAAACGCTGCATTTGTGCATGTAATGAACTCATGTATGGAAATTGAAACAAGATGTCATATATGATTCGAACGTTGATTCAAGCTGTTGAGCTTTGGATTCTGGGTGATGATGGTTAATATGATTTTGTTTTCGATTTCAGGAGATTGGATTTTTCGAGTTGGTGACTTTTCTTTGAAGCCTACGAAGACCTCTGTGTTTAAGGTTAGTGGTTTTGATCTTCCATGGTTTTGATTCAACTTGCAGCCTAAGGTGTAATTTTAGATATGAGACTTTCAAGCTTTTTCATTAATCTTAACCTTGATTAGTTAACTATAATTAAATTAATTTTTTTTTATTTTGACCCCAACATTCAATTTATTAATTCAATTTTGATAAATGATTCAAAATTTTTCAATGATTGTATTACCGTGTTTGATTATTGATTGAGCAGTTGGATATATTTTCTTGCTTAAGTTTTTCTTAGGTGTGTGCTAAATTGGATGTTAGTTTGGTTATTTCCGAGCTTTCACATGACTTCAGATACCCAATAGAGTATGAAGACCCCAACTTTAATTTTGCGCGTGTTTTGGTGCCTGCAAATGAAATCTGGCATTAGCGAAATCTTGCATGGTGAAATTATTGATAACTTTCCCTTCATCTTTAGATTAGCAAACAGAAGAATGAATTCAGAACAGTAGGATTTCGATTTTCTTTTTTCTTTACTCATTTGATTCACTGGGTTTACAGATTTTAAAGGTTCAACATCCACCCGATGTCCATTT